GAGGAAAAATCGCTGAGAGAGAGCAACCTGAAATGCAGAGAGGACGGCGGAATCATTCCCGGTGAGCAGGAGATCATCAACATAGACCAAAAAGTAGAGTAGGCTGCGCCCACGGGAATAAACAAAGAGAGAGGCATCAGAGTGCGTCCTGGTGAAGCCAAACTCGAGAAGGAAATCCGTCAAAGCAGTATACCATGCCCGGGGAGCCTAACGAAGACCATAAATAGCCCGACGTAGACGAAAAACATGAGTAGGTCGATCAGGATCAACAAAACCAGGAGTTTGAACCATATAGACCTCCTCTTATAAGGGAGCCTGCAAGAAAGCATTATTAACATCGAACTGAGCAATCGGCCAATTGTGAGAGAGAGCCAATGTGAAAACCGTCCGAACTGTAACAGGCTTGACAACCAGACTGAATGTATCATTAAAGTCGAGCCCGGGGCGCTGATGAAATCCCTTGGCCACTAGGCGAGTCTTAAAACGTTCAATGGCACCGTCAGAACGATGCTTAACGCGAAAGACCCATCGGTTGCCAAGAATATTATAGCGAGGAAGACAAGGTACTAAGTCCCAACTTCCATTGGCCAGAAGGGAATTATTTTCAGCAGTTAGAGCCTGCCGCCATTTGGGTTCTTTCATAGCTTCCTTGACTGTAGCAGGCTGGAGAGGTGGTGGCCCAGATGGCAAATGAGTGTGAAATAGCCGCTTGGGCTTAAATATACCTAATTGAGCCCGTGTCTTCATGGAATGAGTGCGAAGAGGACGTGGCGGTGGGCCAGGGCAAGGCTGAAGCTTAGATGGAGGAGTAACGGGCGCCGAAGTGGGCTAAGGGACTAAGGAAGGCCCACAAGGTGGAGAAGGATCTAGCGGGGGAGACACTGCTGCCGAAGAGGGATGGGCCGGGAGAGGCCCAGTAGCCGCTGGGAGATGCAAAGAATGGCATGGGAGCGTAGTAATTATGGGAGAGAGATAAAAAATCCAAGACGCGGGCTAGGGAAGGTCACGTGAAGGATCGGAATGAAATCCTGGAAATTTATCCTCAACAAATATGACATGACGAGAAAAATAGATACGGTGAGTGTTAGAATCAAAAGACCGATAAACACTTTACTGAGGACAATAACCGAGGAATAGACACAAGCGAGAACGAGAGTCAAGTTTGTGGGAAGAATAAGGACGAAGCCAGGGATAACAAAGACAGCCAAAGACCCGAAGTTCATGATAGTTAGGTGATAAATTGAAAAGTAGAGTGCAGGAAATCTTACCACTCAACGCAGAGGACGGGAGAAGATTGATGAGGTAAATGGTGGTGGAAAAAGCAAAGGACCAAAAAGATGTAGGGAGGTGAGCATGATGGAGAAGAGTTACACCAGTTTCGACCAAATGACGATGTTTGCGCTCGGCAAGACCGTTATGTTCAGGTGTGTGAGGAGGAGTGAATAGATGAGTTATGCCATTGTCAAGAAGATCATAACGTAATTTTTGAAATTCGCCACCACCATTAGTATATAAATGACGAATAGTGGTAGAGAAATAATTTTCAACCATTTTCCTAAAATCGAGAAAAACTTGGAGCACATCGGATTTACGACATAAAGGGTAATACCAAGTATATCTAGTGAAATGATCAATGATAATCAAATAATAGCAATAACCATCAATAGAAGAAACGGGAGCAGGCCCCCAAACATATGTATACAAGATATCAAATGGACACACACTGGATAAGGACAAGACAGAAAAGGGAAGTTTGTGGCTTTTATTGGAAAAACAAGCATCACAGGAAGAACTAGCTACCGATGATGAGACTTGAAGAGAATAAGATCGAATAAGGCTAGTAAGAGAATGATGAGAAGGGTGACCCAGTCGAGCGTGCTAGGAAGTGGCTGATGTGCGAGTGTTAGCCAAGGCCAGACGAATTGTCTCCACATCCCGAGGCAACTGGTAGACATCACCGTTGTTTTCCCCCTTCAGCAGATGCGCCCCCGTGCGAAGATCATTCACAAGAAAATGAGTGGCAAAAATTCCACAGAGACAGGATTAGTTTGACATAATTTAGCGGCCGAAATGAGATGTCTCTTGATATTAGGAACACATAGTATGTCGTGTAAATGGAATTGAGCAGGATCAAAAGAAACAGCGGAAGAGCCAATGTGTGATATTGCCAAACCTGAGCCATCACGAACAAGAATCTCATCGGGCCCTGTATAGTCAGAATATAGTGATAACTGGCCCAAGTCTGAAGTCACATGACGAGAAGCAGCAGTATCCATAAGCCAGGGCCCAGCCGAAGGCGAGGAGCCCATATTAGATTTGGTGTGATGGGCTTGAGCATGGCGGGCCTGATTAAACACATGACGGGCTTGAGGGAATAACTTAAAACATTGGCTGACTAAATGCCCAGCCCGGTCACAATACTAACAAACCACAGTGGGCTTTCGAGGACGAGGGGTCTCGAGTGGAGAAGTTGGGCCTGGACGGCTGGAGTGATCAAAGCCCAGACTATTAGGTCTCTGACGCAGAGGGCTGGCATATGAGGGATTGCCGCCGCTGTTGAATGAGGGATTGTCGCCGCTGCGAGATGATGGGCCGCCACCATGGAAAGAAGCAGTGTTGCCGCAGCGACGAGACCCCTGGGTGAAAAAGGCGGTGGGCACTGCAGTGGTGTGTTGCTGTTCTTTTAAGTCAGCTTCATATTCAATTAGAGAGTCCAATAAATCTTCAATAGTAATGACCGAACCCTTAGCACGTACAACAGCAGAAAATTGACTATAATCTGGACCAAGACCACGAAGGATATGAACCACAAGATCAAGATTTGACACTAGGGCATCAACAAGGGCCAACTCTGCTGCAATAAGTTTCATATCATTGACATAGGTGAGCACATCGCGATCACCCCTATTAGTGCGACCCAACTTTTCTTTCAGATTAATCAAACGAGACTGAGAGCGATTAGCATAGAGTTTATCCAGAATTAACCAAGCATCGCGAGGCGTCACCGCAATAGAGACATAAGAAAACAGAGATTCAGAAATATAGCATCGAAGGGCATGAAGAATAAGCTTATCTTGTCGAAACCAGCGATGATAAGCAGGATTAGGTGTGGTGGTGCCACCCACTCAGCAGCGGCTGCGTTAACAGCAGTGGACACAGTGTCGTCGACCATGATTGCGTGAGAAAAAAAAATTGGGGAAGAAAAACGTTGCCGAGAGAGAAATAGAGAGACGATTAAAACAACAGATGGATCGAGCTTAGCTGAACTTTGCTGTCTCTGATACCATGATAGAGGTATTAGGAAATGATATTGTTTGTGAAAATCAGCTTATGATTTCATTGAGATCTGGAAGCATAATTATACACGTACAGAGGAGGGTTTCTAGCAACTAACATACTCACGTCCCACAAAGATAGGAATGGTAGAATGTGGAATAATAATAATAAAATAAAAGAAAGAAAGAAAATTCTTTTATGCACTATCACAAACAAGCTTAAGCTCCGATTTAGAGCTTCTGTCAAAAGCTATTTTGAAAATACAAAATTATTCTTACCATATTTTAATTTTATTTCAGAAAATATAATTTCTTTCGATTGTATTATTTTAAAAATAAAATAAATTATGAGAGCACATTATTTAATATAAAAGAAATCTAACAATATTCATTTTGACTACTTTTTATTGTTTATAATTTTTATTTATATTTTATATTATATATCCTTTATAGTCATTTTACATAACCTCTTATATTAAAAAAAGACTTTTAATAGTTTTTCAACCAAACACTCAACTGCTTTTTTTTAAGTACTTCTCTAAAAGATCCTACCAGGAGCTACTTCTGCAAAAGCTACAGCAGGGCCAAATTAGCCCTATGTTTGGCCCAACTTTTAGAAGCGCTTTTCGTCTGCAGGAGTTAAAGCAGGGTCAAACACCTCTAAAAACTCGGTTTTTAAAAAGCCAAAAAATGTTTTTGTATAACATAAAAGTAGAAGCTCCGATTTAGAGCTTCTACGAAAAGCTATTTTGAAAATGCAAGATTATTCTTACCATATTTTAATTTTATTTCAGAAAATATAATTTTATTTCACTTTATAATTTTAAAAATAAAATAAATTATGAAAGTATATTATTTGATATAAAAGAAATCTAACAAGATCCATTTTTGACTACTTTTTATTGTTAAATTTTTTTTCATATTTTATATTATATAACTCTTATAGTCATTTTACATAACCTGTTATATTAAAAAAACACTTTTAATAGTTTTTCAGTCAAACACTCAACTGTTTTTTTTTAAGTATATCTGTAAAATCTCCAGCCAGAAACTACTTCGGTAAATGTTATAACAGGGAAGGTCATCGAAATTTTGAATTCATATACCTAATTCATCATCAAATTCAACAACTAATTTATTCCCAAAATAATCCAATTCCATCACAAATTCCTAAATTTTCTCAATTCTTAGAATTCTCAAATTTCGATTTTTCAAATCCAACATGCAAAACCATCCCTTTATTAGTAATTATTTTCTATCAGGCCATAACCCTAATATACCATACATAGAAATAAATGAAAGCAGATTCTATATAAAGTATATGAAGACTACAATTAAGTATAGTTTGAAGTACAACTATAAAAATCCATCCATCCATATCCACCATGTATGCTTAAAATTATCTATCCCAATAATTTATTTCAATGTATCTATCTCTTCAACGAACCCTTTAATTAATTGATGACACTTTCCCGTTTACTCCAGTATATAGGGAGGAGTTACGTTGGCCCAAGAAGAAAGGCCGTATTTCCATTGGTCAACGTGCATGCATGAGATCTAGTCACGAGATTAAGACGTAACTCTTTGTTAATTACCTCATTAGAGCTAGTCACTGTATTATAAAAAACCATGCAGCTGGACCGATCATCTATTGCAATTCACGTTCAAAACCAAAACCAGATACTTAATTCTCATAATTAGCACTAAGCCAAAAAAAAGAAAGAAATGGCCGCCGCTTACGATAGACTTGCGGAGCTGAAGGCGTTCGACGAAACGAAAGCCGGTGTCAAAGGCCTGGCGGACGCCGGGATCACAGAGCTCCCTCGTTTCTTCCACGCGCCGCCGCATCTTCTCCACGGCAGCCCTGCAGCTCCAGCTGACGATCCGAGCTTCGTTTTCCCAATCATCGACCTGGACGGCGCGTGGGAAGATCCCGACAAGCGGAATCGGATTGTTGGGGAAATCAGGGAGGCGTCGGCAAACTGGGGATTCTTCCACGTCGTCAACCACGGCGTCCCTGCACGCGTCGTCGACGAAATGAAAGCCGGAGCCCACAGGTATGCACTAAAGAAAGTCGTCAAATAACATACATTCATTTCTCGTAATAATTCGAGTTATTCATACCAGTTACTTTATAACATGATATCAGTGTTGATTTGTTTATGAGATCGTGTGTTCAATTCCTCACGACTCCTATATTAACCGTTGTTTTAAAACACATGATATAACAGGCATGTATACAAGAACTTCTCGCAATTAATAACTCGAATTATTGAGATGAGTTGATTTATGACACACTGTCCATTCATTAATAATATTGCTTACGAATATGCACTTATAAAAAGGATTATATGGCTTCGTCGTTGATTGGCTTTATTAGGTTTTTTGAGCTGGATGTCGAGCAGAAGAAGGAATACTTCGGCCGTGACATGACCAAAAAAGTCGTCTACAACACCAACTTCGATCTCTACAGTTCACCGGCGGCTAACTGGCGGGACACCATCCTCTTCCACATGGCACCAAACCCACCGGAGCCGGAGCAACTGCCCACCTGCTGCAGGGAGATCGTGACAGAGTTCTCCAAAGAGATGCTGAATCTCGGAGATTTGCTTTTCCAGTTATTATCCGAGGCCCTGGGTCTGCGGTCGAACCACTTGAAAGAAATCGGTTGCTTGGAGGGAATGGACACGGCTTACAATTACTACCCGGTTTGCCCCGAGCCAGAACTCACTTTGGGAGCAACCCAACATACAGATACAGGATTTATTACGGTGCTCGCGCAGGATGACATTGGAGGCCTCCAAGTTCTTCACCGAAATTGTTGGGTCGATGTGCCTCCAATGTCCCAAGGTTTGGTGGTTAACCTCGGAACTCTTCTTCAGGCAAGACATTTTTAATTCTTAATCAAATAATTGCTTCGACATAAATTATTATATAATAGAGTTTAAATAAGGATTTTGTCGAGATGATATATCATTGGTCTAACTTCGTTACTTTGATCAATGCAAACCTCGTTTTGTTCAGGTAATGTCTAACGATAAGTTCACCAGCGTGGAGTGGTATTAAAAGGCGCGGAGCCAAGAGTCTCTGCCATATCCTTTTTCGGGATTGGGTACACGTTGAACGCGAGGTTATATGGACCTGTAGAAGAATTGTTATCTGAAGACAATCCTCCGAAATATAAGAAGACCACGATTAAAGATCTGGTTGCTCATGCATACAAGCAAGGTCTTGATGGGACCTCTTTTCTGCAACATCTGAAGCTTATGGATTAAAATCATGGGCATCAGAAGTACCATACAATGAATCTGTCTATTTGTAGGCAGGGGGGAAATGTATGTCTCGAATATAAATGTGTATCAAGCTGCTCTTTCCTTTCTCTATTTCTTTGTGTTTTTTTGTGCTTTCTTCATTTTGCTTAATAAATCTTATCCCCGTCGTCAAAAAAAGAATCGCCTGTTTGGAACAAGAATGGTTTCTTTCAGCAAAAGAATAATGATTTGTATGTAAGTTTGTCAACTAATTTTCTTTGGTGTAATATATTTTGAATGTTAAGTGTGTGGCTCTTAGTAATTTTCTTCAATGATGTTGCAAGCTAGAGATGGGAGTTTAGAGTTTGTCTCAACTAGGGCTGCAAATGAGTCAAGCCGCTCGCGAGCAACTCGGCGTTCGAATCGGAAAAAACTCGTTCGACACTCGACTCGTTATTTAACAAGCCGGCTCGCGAGCCAACTCGTTAGTTAATGAGCCAAGCCTGAGCTAGACCATGCTCAGCTTGATAAGCTCGCGAGCTAGCTTGATTCGGTGGCTTGTCGAGCTAAGCTCGCGAGCTGCCTTGTTTTGAGTTTGTGGAAGGATAAATTACTCTTTTAAACATGAACATTGTCTTCTAATACATATGTGTATGAAATTTAGATGTTATTTATAGTTTCTAGTGTTCTTTCTATCATTTAAATTTTTATGTTTATACATTTTTCCAGCAAAAATGATTTTAAATCGAGCCCATCTTGAGCCGAGCTTGTACTCAGCTTGACAAGCTATGTTAATGAGCATTTATCGAGCTCTACCGAGTCGAGCTCGAGCTAGATTATTTTTATTCAAGCCGAGCTCGAGCTCGAGCTGGATTATCAAAATTCGAGTTCGAGCCGAGCTCGAGCTGAAAAATTAATAAACGAGCCGAGCTCAAGCTAAGCAAAAACTCGACTCGACTCGGCTCGTTTGCAGCCCTAGTCTCAACGCAGTTGTAAGATTTAATTAATTTTGCCACTATACTAAGCTCACCTACTTTTATTTTATTGTAATAATTTGATTTAGTACACTACTACAAGTAAAATCCCCAGTCAAAATAATTTATATTCTAGAGGAAAAAAAGACACACTTAGGGGTCGTTTAGAGAATATGAGTTTAAATCTATAGATTGTCAACAATCTAAAAATTCTAACTCTTCGGATTGTTGAAAACAGATTTTAAAATGTTTATTGTTTGGTAACTGTGATTGTTAACATTCAATTAAAATAAAATATTTATTTTATATTAAATAACAAGTTTATCCTTAATAAAAAAAATAAAAAAATTAGAGTGGTCTGAGAAATATTAAAAACTTTTGTTGATAAATATATTTCATGTGATAAATAAATAAAAGTAAGAGAAAAACTAGGAAAAAAAAAATCTTACGAATCAAGATATAGAATATCTCTTATTATGAGAGATTTGATATCCACATATTTTAGAGATTTGAAATCTCTAAAGCTAGAATCCACAATATAAAAAGCAACAAAAAAACATAACTTTCTACAAAATCTACGATTCAGTGAATCCATATCCTGAATCCTGTTCTCCAAACGACCCATTAATTTCCATTTCTGGCTCCGCCACCTCCATACTCCACGATAATTTACTTATTTTCTTCAGCTTGCAGTCGAGATATAGAGAGTCCAGTATATACCAAACGACCATCACTCTAACCCTACACTATCATCCGCCAATCACTTTGATGAACCGTAACTCCCGGTTCCAGAATTTAGCTTGTAACTAATTAACAGGCGAGAGTACGACGTAAAGTGCCAAAAAAAAACGTGTTCTTTGTTATTATTTTCGATTAATTGAATTAATGTCGTAGTTACAATATTGACATGCGATTATAAACCTAATACGTAACCCTAGCTAATCCGAACCCTACTAGGCCTACTACTACTCTAGCCAACTCGACCGCGCACAAAAAGAAACAAGACTCCTAATCGGCTACAAAACTAATTGGCCCATGCAAAATCGCAAGCTAGGGCATAAGAATCCCGCAGCTCAAAAACCACTGCCGCGCCCCCGCCGATATGAAGGAAGCAATCCCGGAGGACCTAGCCACCGCGATCCTGTGGAAGCTTCCCGTCGGTGCATCCATAGCAGGGGCGGAGCTACACATAGGCTCGAGCCCCCCCCCCCCCCCCAGAATTTCAGAACTTACGTATAAACTATATTGGTATTTGAAAATTTCGTATAAACTGATAAGTTATAAAATAGTTTACTGTGCATTATTGTACCATGAAAGTAAACTAGCCCAGTGGGCGGAATCCTTCTATCCCATCCATCAGATTATGAGTTCAAAACTCAGAGGCAACATATTTTAATTTTAGTTTTAATCTCACATTTCTTAACCCTTTTATTTTCAATATTAAGTTTTATATGGATTCAAATGGATGCTTTGATAATATTAAAATTTATTTTGATTATTGTTTTTGCTTAATGTTATTGTCTTTTCGCAGTAACAAAATAAATCCCCCTTCGGAATGTCAAATTATGTCTTCGTCTCTAACTCGAAGATGAAATGCATTTTATGCACTTTCAACTGCAATTGGTAAATCAATATTAATTTTAGAAGCACATAAATTAATGGAGTGATAAACAAAACTTATGGATACGAAGTATTCACCTTTTTTAGTTTGTCTATACAAAATAAGTTGTAGTATTGATCTTATTTTGAATAACTCTAATCATCTAAAATGCTAGTTATAATAATATTAAAAATATGGTAATGACTGGTGTACGTCAGGCGTATAGTATACAGCAGGTGATCTAGTATTGAACTTATTTTGATTATTGTTTTTGCTTAATGTTATTGTCTTTTCGCAGTAACAAAATAAATCCCCCTTCGGAATGTCAAATTATGTCTTCGTCTCTAACTCGAAGATGAAATGCATTTTATGCACTTTCAACTGCAACTGGTAAATCAATACTAATTTTAGAAGCACATAAATTAATGGAGTGATAAACAAAACTTATGGATACGAAGTATTCACCTTTTTTAGTTTGTCTATACAAAATAAGTTGTAGTATTGATCTTATTTTGAATAACTCTAATCATCTAAAATGCTAGTTATAATAATATTAAAAATATGGTAATGACTGGTGTACGTCAGGCGTATAGTATACAGCAGGTGATCTAGCCGTTAGATGTACTTAGATGAGCTCCGGCCAATCTCAACGGTCAGTTTTTGTTTTTCATTAAATCAAACATCGGGTTGGGGTTTAGAAATCGGTGCCTGGGGTTTATCCATTAGAGGTTAGGGTATAGTATCATACCTCATTCTCGATTTAATTCATGGTCTAGATAGAGATATCTCACTAGTAGTACCTGACGTATAGTATACGTCTGACGTACGCCAGTCTTACCCTTAAAAATATTTGTTTCTTAATTTTTATCGTATTTTCGAAATAGTAGAATAAAAAAAAATCCGACCCCCCCCAACTTCGAATCCTAGCTCCGCCCCCTGATCCATAGCCAGATTCCGCTGCGTCCACAAAACATGGTATCATCTCCTCTCGGACCCATCTTTCATCACTCAAAAGCTATCATCATCTGGCAGTACTGAGCATCAGATCACGATCAAACGCTACGTCAGCATCAACTCCATGTTGAAGTACTGGGTTCTCGTGGACGAGGCTGTTGGTTATTACGAGTCCTCCCGAGATGAATGAAGATTGGTCATAGATTTCCTAGTGAGTTATCAAGGAATTTGAAGAAGTGTTTTTTCGTGGACGAAGCGAACAACACGATTACAGTCAGAGATGAATGCGTTGTTGTCTATAGTCCCGCGACGGGACAATTTAGTGAGCTTGGGAAACATGGGTGACAGGACACTGCTGCGTCAAATCGTAACGTGTTATATGTACCCTCTCAAATTGCCTTGCGGGATTATTATTGCATGTCGGACATCTAGTATACTTGCGTGCGTTAGTCTTGTTCCAATGAATGCTCTAAGTTGTGAATGCGATGCTCACTAATAAGAGCATTTTAATTGGTTACCAAATAATTTACCTATCAGAGGTAGTTGAGATCTCTCGGATATCGCCACCTCCATTCAGACGGTCCCCGTCATTTTGGATGTTGTACTGTAGCATTCGCTCTTATAGCTTGCTTGGGATATGTTCCATCACCCGAGCATATAATTGAGAGGGCACTGTAGAAGGTCTTCAGTTGGTCTGCTGGGACATGGGTTATCGTCGTGTTCGTTTGGAACTAGACTTTGAGATACGGAGTCCTGCTTCTGATCTAGGGTAGTGATATGATTGATCATCATCACGCCACCATAACATACCGTTTCCCGGAGTTCATCGCCAGCGATTTGGGAGGTGTCTATCTCCCATATTTATCGTGAAGGCAATAAGTGTGCAGATTTACTAGCTAGTTGGGGTCATTCTCTTCCCTCGGGTTTACATACTGCTTCAGTTTCTTATCCTGCTCTTCGTTCATTTCTCTTGTATGACTGTCAAGGCCTTTCCAAGCCTCATCTTATTGTGAATACAAGCTCAGATTTGTTGCATCCATTTACCACAAAAAAAAAGTTACTAGTTAATGTTTGGATTTGAATTAAACCATCGACGGCTTGTTTGGAAGTTGAGATTTCAGATGATTTAATTAGAAGACTACTTCAATTTTGTCTTAAAATGAAACACAATACTTGTATTTGAGGAGAAGATGAGAACACAACAATCATCCTTATGGATAATTGTCGATAACTCATTTTTTGAGAAACTACCAAAATCATGCAACATCGGACTCGTTTTTTTACATATATATCTCCTTATTTAATTTGAGATCCTATTGTATTCACCTTTGGGCTTCTATTAAATCGAGAAATGAGTTTGATTGTCAATTTTTTGGATAATCTATATCCTGTAAACAATATATTTTTCAAAGCCATATATTAAAACAATACATCTAATTAGAATATTTTTTTATAAAATGAATACGTTTAGAAAATCTAACTTCCAACGTAGCCAAAGCTACCTCCCTCTCCCTCCCGTACTACAGGTTGCAATCAACTGGACCAAGGGCCACTGCAGGCCTTAGCTCAACTGAGACTCCGCCACGAATAGTAAAAGCCCAAAGCCCATATATGGCGGGAAGGCTCCCAATACTATATTCCAAAAATTTCCCAAAAATCATCACCGAATTTGTCGGCTACCCGGTATACCAGGGTTTTTGAAGGGGTTCTTCTTCCCATTCGTCTCATCTCCCTTCCTATCTTCTTCTCCGTACGAAGACCATAGTCTCTCACAACCACCATTGACAAAAAGGTCGGCGAGACTAAAACCCCAAATATGGGTTCTCTGGATAACGTGGCAGACAAAGCAATGGACAGAGAAAAACAAGCTGCAGAAGAACAGGACGAGCCCATTCTGAAAGAACAGAACCAGAGGTTTTGCATGTTCCCCATTAGGTACAAGCAACTCTGGGAGATGTACAAGAAGGCTGTGGCTAGCTTTTGGACTGGTAAGTTCTCAATTCCTCCAACTGATTAACTCTCTGTCCCTTCGTCTTTCCATACATGTGGACATTGATGAGATAACAATTCTCTGAAGAAGATGTCGTTGAAAGTTTCTGTGCCCTTTTCAATTGGTTGCCATGGGATTGGCAGAAACAGGCATGAACTTAGAATCTTTACATCCTCTGTCCTGGAATTATGGATAATCTTGGGGGTTACTTTACTGGGTTTCCTTGGTACAAGTTTTCAAGATACTCCAAATATTTAGTGCATGATGTGAAGCAACTACCTTTATTGAGAAATGCATTTTGGGTGTTCAATTGCCACACTAATGATTATCCTTCACCGTTTGTTGTTGAAAAGGGTTTAGAAAAGAGAGGTATAGGCTATGATTTTGGTTCATGGTATATGTACTATGTGGGTGCATAAAATACCCATCTTGTACTAGGTAAGGGATTCGCACTGTTAAGACAGACTTATCATGACAAATTTGGTAATTGGGTGATGGTTTTGGCTTGAGAGAGTTTAAAGTTTTTTTCTTTATCTACTCCTTTTTTCACCCTGTTTGCAGTGGCTTGATGGGGAATTTTGTTAGTAACTGCTTGGGTCTAAACTTTACTCTGATTTACACCCGGTTTCTTATCAATTTGGTTCATATATGTTTGTAACTGGCTTACAGCTGAGGAGGTTGATCTCTCCCAGGACATGCGGGATTGGGAAACATTGTCTGGTTCGGAGAAGCACTTTATCAGTCATGTGCTAGCCTTTTTTGCTGCTTCTGATGGTATTGTGTTGGAGAACTTGGGTGCAAGATTCCTTAATGATGTTCAAGTTCCAGAGGTGAAAAAGCTTGGACAATGTTCCTTAATTTGTTAAAGGGCTATATACTGTTTTCCTTTGCCTTGTGCTTGTATTTTGTTAAAAATCCAATACTGGGTTCTACTTTAATCCCACCAATCGATTTGTCCAAATTTTGATGTTCTAGTTTTCCAGCTTTCTATTTGCCTAATATAATTGCCAGATGCTTGGGTTTATGGCAAATTAGGCTCCCATTTAAAGCGGTCTTTTGCTCTATGGCGCAAGGCTATGTTACACTGGACTTCACTTTCCTTTTTCACTGTATTATCTGATCAGCATGCTTCACAAATTTTCCAGGCTAGAGCATTCTATGGATTTCAGATTGCAATGGAGAACATCCATTCTGGTGAAGCTCTCTCTAAACACTTAGTTGATTTAAATATTGTCATGGACTACTAGGAACTGAACGCGGAACTTCATGTGTCATTTAATCAGAAATGTACAGTTTGCTTCTGGAGACGTACATCAAGGACCCAAGTGAAAAGCATAGATTGTTTAATGCAATAGAAAACATTCCTTGTGTGGCCAGGAAGGCTAACTGGGCGTTGGATTGGATCAACAGGTACGCTGCTCTCCATTTTGGGTTTGATTTATGGCACCTAACAATTGTAGAGTAATAGTAGAATGATCGAGTAAGAATTAAATGGTCCCTTTTTCCGCTTCTTTTTATTGTACTACGAAAAAACCTATGTTTTAATACGTCTTTGTTCTTGTTTAATCTGCAGTTCCAATTCATTTGCAGAGAGACTACTTGCTTTTGCTTGTGTTGAAGGAATCTTCTTCTCTGGGAGGTACATGTCTCTCCTTTGTGCATGACATATTCTGCTTAAAACAACCACTCTTGCATCATAGTTTGAATCCGAGGTTGTTGATTTTTTTTTCTCTATCCAGCTTTTGTTCCATTTTCTGGCTTAAAAAGAGGGGCCTGATGCCAGGTTTGGCATTCTCAAATGAACTGATATCCAGAGATGAGGGTCTGCACTGTGACTTTGCTTGCCTTTTGTATAGGTACCATATTTCTGTCTGTCAGTCTCCATTTGAAAATATGGAAACAACAAATTCCTCTAAGAAGTGCATGGTCCTTTATCTTTTAGTTTGTTACAGAAGCAACTTCATTGGCAAAAGGTTCATCTCATCATTGATGCTGCTGTTGAAATTGAGATAGAGTTTGTATGTGATGCCCTCCCTTGTGCATTGATTGGCATGAACTCTGAGCTGATGAGTCAGTACATCAAGTTTGTTGCTGACCGGCTTTTGGTATGTCTCTAATTTGCATGGTTAAGCAATCCCTTCTGAATTGCGAAGAATAAAAAAAGTCAATTGCTTCCTCTATTATTTTTCAGGTTGCTCTAGGTTACGAGAAGAAGTACAAAGTGGAAAATCCTTTTGACTGGATGGAATTTATATCTTTGCAGTGAGTTTCAATCTTATTTCATTGAAAGTACTTGCATTTGACCAGAGATCGTATGTGATTATTTAGTCCTTGCTCCTTTAGTAGAGGTTATGCTCATTTTATACTTACTAAGCATGTATTTCATTCTGTCGCTTCCTTGAGAACAAGCTTCTACCCGTGCCAGTAATTGTGTTCGTCTTTTCAGTATATCCTGAACAACTGCAAACTAGAGAGTTCTTCAATTGATATCTTTTGTTATTTTTGCAGTTGTGATGCATCTTAGATCCAAAACTTCTTTAGTTCAACATGTTTGCCACTTGTGTGTTAGTCGTTGACTAATTATAACATGGGGGCTTTAACAACTTCTATATTAAAATGCATGCTATGGTGGGATAAGGTGGTAACATGACATGAGCTTCTTCTTATCTTAGTTCAAGGACTTCTTGGAATCCGACCTGTCCTCCTTTCTTGACGTTTGACTTTGCGCACCAATTTCCTTTCCCTTGGCATGATGTCTTCCATCTTATCAGTTGAGTCACTTTAGGCATGTTAGGTGCAGTACTTTGAAAGAATTGCACTTCTTCCCTCACCTTGTTTTTCTTTATTCCTTTTCAACCTTGCAGAGGGAAAACAAACTTCTTTGAGAAAAGAGTAGGGGAGTACCAGAAGGCATCTGTCATGTCAGGTCTTCAAGATGCCGGGAAGAACTTCGTCTTTAACACGGATGTGGAGTTCTAATCTAAACAAAATCACAGTTTTATCTCAAAGTGCGATGACAGCAGAATCTGCAAGCGTATAGCTCCCAGTTTATGGTTACAGCTTCTATCTATACCCTAATTATATTTGCACTCTTTTCCAAACTGGCAACTTGATGTTAGGCCATCTGTTAGTTCGTCCTTGCATTAATCTTTGCAGTCCTCTCATGCCCTTAAGTCGCCACTCCTCCACCATGATTGTGTGTAATGTGCATGATAATGCTAATTATTTGCACTAAGCGGCTGAGGTTTTGACCTTTGAGAATCTGTGGTTATTAGGAATTGGATGAAGAAACATATATATTAGTTATTTGTCCAGGTGTCGGTCTCTCTGCTTTCCCTATTGGTTTCTACATGAATGGCTAGTTGCATTTTGATGTGTACAAGTTAGAATATTGAATGTGTCCTTCGTCACTTGATTTGGTTGAAACTTGAAAAGAAAAGGATGGATTGGGTTAATTTATTGATAAGGGCTAAGTTGATGTAGATTCATAGAAGCAAGGAAACCCAAGACTTAGCCAACCTCATTTTCCTTGCCATTTGCTTCTGGCCAATGAGAGAGTGGACTTTTTTTTGTTCTGTTAGGTAGGGAATTGAAAGCCTTTTCCCAAGTTGTATTAGAAGTCAAGTTGGCCAAACTCCAAGGGGAGAATGTAGCTTTCATTATCTGGATAGGCTAATGTAATGATTTACACTTCATCTATTGTTAATCATTAAACTAGAGGTGGGGTTTTGGGTTTGGTAGTGTCAACAAATCACATGACATGATGAAATTAACTAATCTTCTATTAGTCTATGCTGGTTTAATTAATCATTTATCTTTTCATAATTGTTAAATTCTCATCATTATCCTGTCCTTCCAAGTTCCCTATCATGCCACACTGAACCATAATTAATGTCTCAATTGTCAATTGTCACCCTTTTGGCATTAGCTAATATGGATCAACGATCAATCCAGCTAGCAGTGCTTCATAGCGATAAGAGTCGACACATGCTGATACCGATGGATTGCACTGTCCGCGATCTCAACCATTAGATTGATGTCAGTTGAACTCATGACTTCAAATTTTGAGCATGAGAGAAGTGTTTGAGCCATGTGGGTTGATGTCTGTCATGTTTCTCATCCTGTATTTTTAAGTTGTGAGATGATTACCAGCTCTGAGAATGAGACGAAGTCAGACAAACATGGTTTTTTTTTTTTTGTTTCATTTCTCGTTTGTTTTAAGATTTCTTGGAGATAAGCATATGGTGTTACATGAAACACCCACAGAAAATCATGTTGGCTTGTCTTTGCCACTTGGTATAGTTGGTGAAGCATCTCTTTAAACAAACAATAACCTGCAGCTGCAGGTAGGTCAGGTGAGATATAATTTGATTTAAAAGTTTACCTGGTATGTTTATCTTTACTCTAATCCATCACTTTCCAATCTTTAAACCAAAAAGAGTGGAAGGTGGGAACTAGGAATCAGGAAAGTAGTTGCAGTATAAAAGGAACTCCATTTCCAATTTATCTTACTACAGTGAGCATGATCCGAGCTGATTGAAAATCAAATTGCGTTACAATAGAACTGGGTTGAGGATTATAATCGGATTAAAAGTGCATTTGACTTCATCTTATTTCAATTTGATTTGGATTCAAACAACAAATTTATTCACCAAACTGACCCCTATCAGACTCTCTCTTAATCATATCCCACCAACTTAAGTCACTGAGACGTTAGCGGTGCCATGAATTAGTGGATATTTCAACATGCTTAGTCTCAAATTTTTGGTGCTCCTCTGGAAAATATGTTGTGGAAAAAGCCTTTGTATTTTAACAATGCGTGTATATGAAAATAAGAGTGCTATAAAATATAATTTTTTTTGGACAAAAGATAATCTTATATCGATTAAATAAGAGATCGAACAAATTACAACCTGGTATACAATAAGGAAAGAAAATAAAAAAAAAGCGACACGTAGTTGGATACAAAAAAGAGCAACAATTAGCTGCTTATAATTAAGTATTAATCTTTTGAATCAAAGAGAATCCATTACGACAGCTGTAGTGATCCAAATTCATTTTAAAATTGATTCTTGTGTTGTTAGCGTATGCTGGATGATATCAACATTTTCCTCTCTAAACCTCAATTGTGTATTTAGACTTAAACCATAATCACCATTACAAATGAAGAAGAAAAACAAGTAGGTGGGTCTTGTGGAGAGGGATGGATGGTAGAGCAGCCACTAGTTTGGTTAGATTGAGTTGGTTGGACCACCACCACCACCACCATCCCTAAGAGGTTGAAAAGGGTTGTTGTTCCATGTTCATGGACCCATTGGATGGAGTAGTAGCACAATAGAAAAGACCTCAGTTTTACACATAAAAGAAAGAAAAACTGAATCCCAGAAGATTGAACAAATCAGCACCTTCTTCTCAACTAGTGGCCTCTCTCACCTACCACAAAAACCTCATCATTCAGCAAGCACAAGCACAAGCACAATGACAAGAGGACAAAAGAGAATGAATGAACAAAAAGAGCCTAACAATCCAGAACTTGGGTTCTCCACCCAATTGGCAATACTGGCCAAGATGTGGAGCCAGCAAAATATATGAAACACATGTCAAGAACCAGTTGATCCCAATAACTCGAGTTGTTGGGAGAGGTTCAATCGTGGATCATATACCACAACACTAACACGCCCCCTCAAACGAAAGCCACTCACAAGGGCTTGAAGTTTGCACATGTCTGAAGACAAGAATACCATGTGCTTAACAAATGGGAGTCACCGGGGATCGAACACAAGACCTCTCAGTCACAGAAGGCTCTGATACCATGTCAAGAACCAGTTGATCCCAATAACTCGAGTTGTTGGGAGAGGTTCAATCGTGGATCATATACCACAACACTAACAACACAAACATAACAACTTGTGTAAAAAGATCCCAACTTTATTGTCCCCCTCATCCCATCCCATTAGGCATTTGTCCATGGTCCATGGACCATGATACAATTGCTGCCAGATAAGATGGCCAGGTACAGAGTTGCCCCTCCCGGTAGCTATGGTATAGTTGAAATTTTCAAGAAGAATCCATATGGATAAAGGTTGAGTGTGTTCCATGTCTCATCTCGATCAGTTACAAATTAATCGAGAAGTTGATCGAAGAGAGATTCAATTCACAAATCAGAATACCACATACGAAATTCGTGCATATTAAGTTCATCACTTGAAAATCACGACTTCTTGACGGCCCTCTTAGCCCTCAAAGTCAATTGATGCACATGACCTCCCCAGAGCTTTGAGCCTCTACCCTTCCTCCTTTATTTTTTTACTATGCCCTCTTAACCTAAAAGGGTAAAATCACCAACCTCTTCCTCCACTCAATTTGTGTCTTTCGGCTGTAGCCAATATTCCTTGATGGATCGGTCATTTGCGACAATCACAATTTTTTTGTACCAACTAGTTATATAGCTTGAAGCGTATCTTTTGACAATCACAATTTTTTTTATCATATCATTCATCACCATATCACTATGATTTTTTCACACGCTTATAATGAGACATTTGACTGTTTATTTCTTCAGTTTGACAACAACTAAAAATAAATTTATAATTCAGTCTGGAAAATCTAACAAACCAATCCACTTTCTTGTGATCACATTGTTATTATCAATGCAGTAAAAAATCAGAATTTTGATGGTAAAATCGTAGAATTTTAGAATTTTACTTAGAGATTTCGATTTTGATTTTACTATAAAATCGGTGGATTTTAAAACTTTTAAAATTGGGATTAAAATCGTATCAAAATCGGAATTTTGATCGTATGAGAACAAAAAATAGGCGGTTTGAGCCAATTTAAAATAATCATAATTGTTTCGACGAAAAGGGCAATGACGGAAATCTTCTCAGATATTTTTCTATTAGAAAAATATTTAAAAATAATAAAAATAACCAAATTATGGCTCGATTAATCCCTTTTTCATTCGCCCCATTTAGCTTATTGGTAAAACAATTGTCCTAATATTGGAAGTATGTAGGAATTAACATCATTATTTACTAATTAATTTATTAATGAATATATTTTTACCAAGCCACTAGCATTACTTATTTTATTGGAGTTCAATTATTTTTAGTTTTAAATCATACTTAGTAGACGATGTCGGAATATTACTTTGAGTTAAACTACCTAGACACAACATGAAAACAAGAGCCAAACCCCATGACCTCTATCCCTTCATCATGAATTATTTTGAGTTACGCATTAAATAATAATTAAAATAGTGATTTTGGAACATTAATCTTGAGAATTATCTCTTATAAAAAAAAATCTTGAGAATTAACATTTTAAATGTTATGTGTATTTGTGTTATTAATGATTTACCTTATTAATATATTATATATTATGTTCTATATGGTACTTAAAATTCTAAGATTTTACAATTCAATTTTATGATTCTAATTTTACCCCAATTTCAATTTAGATAAAATCTCAATTTTAGCGGCTTTGGTTATTATCACTAGGTTTGTTGATGTTGCCTTGCCACCATCTCTCCTCATCTCCACCTACCCCTTACCCACCATATCATAAACATTTTATAATTCTCACAAGACACAAATTGCCTCTTGGAAACACGAACGGAACATAGGAAAAGCAAAAACATTTCACTAAGGATAATCCCATAAGTGGGATTTTTTATTAATTAGATTTTTATTTATTTTGAGCTCCCTATTTAATGGTGGTCCACTCCCAATATAGAAGCTTTGGTAGACATGGTTCAGGAATCAGTACAGGGCCAATCCATTGGACTTTACCACTTTGCCCCTCAAACTCCAACCAAATTCTTTTGCATTTTGTTGCCCTAGAAAGGCTTAAAAAACACATAAGTAAGGGCTAAGCATGCTATTAGATCCAATGGAAATGGATCTAATTAATGGGTGTCTCTCACTATTTTCCTGCGCCATTTAATTAAATACCTATAAAGCTTCGGTCTTTGACTTCCATCATCCGTTTGAGAAAACCTCCCCAGCTCCTATTGTCAGCCCTCAGAGCTCGGGTGAAAACAGCTCGTTTCATAGTCAATTGGGGAGAAACCCAGAAGAAAGGTTTGGTGCTCTGCTTTCCAAAACACAAGAGACCAGAGGAAAAAGTTGCGAACTTTTCCTATCTGATTAAAGAAGAAAAGAGAAAGATTGTTGGACTCTCGTTGGCCGGGGAATGAATGGCTGCTCCGCTGACCATGTGGGACGGCGTTCTGGAGATAACCCAGATGGCGCAAGCCAAGGTCGGCGATCCTCTGCTATGGGCTCTGCAAATATCTTCCAATTTGAGCTGCTCTGGCATCTCCTTGCCTTCCCCTGAGCTCGCCAATGTGTTGGTTTCTTACATTTGTTGGGACAACAACGTTCCCATTATGTGGAAGTTCCTCGAGAAGGCTTTGGTTCTCAAGATTGTTCCTCCATTCTTGATTCTTGCTCTGCTCTCAGAGAGGTTCGAGTTTTCCCCTCTTCATATCCTCTGTTCTTATTTGCTCCCTTCCTTTTTCCTTGTAGAGCGTGTACTTTTTGCCTGTTTTTGAGGTTGTGGGAATTGAGAAGTGTACCCTTCTGTCCAAAATTTGGCTAAAAGTAGCAACTTTCGGGGCCATATTTGGATTAATTCACGACGATAAATGCAACAGCTTTATGCCTGATTTGTACATAGTGCTCTGTTACGTAGCTATCTCTGGGTTCTCTACTTCTCTATGATCAATTGGCTTCCCTGAACATGTCTCCAGTGTTAAATTCTGTTTGTCTTGTCAATTTAACTTGTTGAAAATTTGCCTCCCCGAGG